CCCCCCCCCCCCCCCAAATATCCTTAGGATAGAAAGACAAGTTTATAAATAGCTCAGAGTATCTTAATAAGGAATAATGGGTGTATCTACACATGCGCTTTACTGTGAAGTAGACTAATTAGTTCCATAGTAAAACATCACTGTCTAGTCATCTCAGTATTTGGGCAGTATTAGGGCAGTAAACTAATTAACTCTGCCATAAGATAGTACTGTTGGGGACAGTATTATCTTACAGTGGAGTCATTAACTTCACTGCAACACACATACAGTTTACACCCCAGGGAATTATGTACAGAGAAATTCTAAATTATACACTGAGTACTGGGGGCTGCACATGGCAACATGAAGCTAGTCTGGCCTGGCCCACTGGCACACACATTTTAAACCAGACCAGGCTGGCTCTGTGTCAGCACATGGGGCTTGTAGCACTGCAGGCAGCAGTCACTTACCATTGGGCTGGGTGGGTTTCGTGCCTCCATGTGTTGTTCCCACTGGAGGCACAGAGCCAGGCAGCCTGGCCTGATGGTACATGGTTTCTGCCTACAGTGCCATGAGCCCCACATGTTGGCATGGAGCGATCCTGGTCCAGGCCAAAGACATGCAGGACAGCCGGGATGGCTTTGTGCCATCATGTGCAGCCCCTGGGACTCAGCTAGAGACATATGCCACCAGGGGACTCTGCCTACAATGGCCAGAAGTGCCTTGAGGGCCTGCTGCTACTGCTGGTGGCAAGGGCTGCATACTATGACAGGGGGTGGCATGTAGTGGTGGAGGCTCCACACCCACTCACACACACACACCCTCACACCCACTCACAAATCCCATGCCCATGCCTCCTCCTGCAGGCAGGAGCTCCCCTCCCCACTCACAAGCTGTCTAGTTGCATGCCACCATGCTTAATGCCTCCACATGGGGCTCCCAGTTAGAGTGCCAGGTGGTCCGCAGAGGTGAGGGCATAGAGCCAGCCTGGGTTAAATTATGCAAAATTATGAGATTATGCATGATCATATGTTTTATGTGTAAAATTGTGTAGGTGCATAATTCCCTGGGATGTAATAGATGGTAACTGGGTGGGGACAGACTCCTGCCTGCTGCCTAGCCACACAGCTCCACAGATCAGCACCCTCATGCCTCAGCCAGCCTCTTTGCCACCCAGTGCCACCAGCCGGAGCCCGGGGCTGACCCCTAGTGCCTCTTGCCAGCCAGGGCCTGTTCTGCCCCAGCTCAAATTGCTGCTGTCCTGGGTGTAAACACTGTGCCCATGAGCAGTTTGCTCCAGCTTGAACTGCTCCAAAGTTTGTTGCTTCACTTTAATTTCACATGTAGATGCACTCATTGTCTGTTAAAATTGTAAAATCAATGTTTAAAGGGGAACTCTAAGTGTGGCTGTCTTATGCAATCTGTAGAGATCTTCCAAGTGTGTCACTGTTGTGAAAGGTGAGGACTGTTTCACTGTGATGATGAGCTTTCAGGAACATTTAGTAATTAATCTCTACATCTGTAAATTTTTAAAACTGGCAAATTTGTCTTAAAAGGGCCTTCTTAGGAGATCATTCTTCAGTAAGGAAAAGAAAAGCCTTGAGTTTAAATGATTTGGACAATTCAAGAAGCATAATAACTATACATATTAGGACTTTCAAAAAGGCAGTTGCAGAAGGGAAAGGTAACAAAACAAATGTTTTCTCAGAATAACGATTTGGCAGATGAGTTTGACAAATGCTTCAAATCAAATTGCAGTGCTTACACCACTTGATATCTGCAGCAAAAAGGAAAGAAAAAAAACTAGCTTCCCAATGTAAGACCTGGTATAATGCAAAGTTAGTGCAGCTTCAGAGTGCCTATGAGTAGTACCCCCCGCAGGCAGCTAAACCATGGAATATGGAAAAAACAATGTTGTGGAGCCGGACTGTCTTTGAGTGATCATAGAGAAGGCATAATCTTCTCAGTGTGCTCTGTACGTGCACCATGAAATAAATGCAGACTGCTCCATCCAGTCCACTGGCTCAGCTCTTCAGGGGCAAAACTACCCCTTTGCCATATGATTTTTCTGGCAAACTTCTTTGAGCAGAGAATGCTTTTATGATTTTTCCATGAGAGGGCCACATTTGAAGGTGGAAAGTAGAGGCAGTTGGAAGAAAAGAGACTTTTTTTGACCCATGCAGATCCATTTCTTTTTCATGCACATACCCAGATCTCACTCTCTCTGTCAGGTTCAGAATAGCAACAAATTTCTGCGGCTGCATAGCCCAGGAGGTCTGCAAAGATTACTCTGTACTGAGTTAGATGTCTAATGTTTCAGTATTATGGCTGATTAGAAATGGAACTTTTGGGGCTTAAGAAAAACCCTTAGGTAGTATTAAATAGTCCTACCACTGACCACAGTAATAACATACAAGTTGATTCTGAACCAAGCTTATTTTTTCACAGAATAAATTAAGGTAGATTTATGTATTTAATTATATTTACAGGCTTGCTAAGAATACAAAATTACTATATAAGGAAATACTGAATATATGCTTTATCTTCAGTACTAGTTATATAATAAGCCAAGTAGTGCAAGCACCAGTACTGGAACTGGGTGGGGTGCAGGGGTGATTGGGACATATTTGAGAGGTTGCCAAAATAGTCACCCCTGCAGCAAGCTGCTAGCAGCACAGCAGCCAGTACGGCCTTGTGTGGAGCTACTGCCCAAGGCTCAGAGCTGCCTGCTATGTCACTGCTAAACACAGTTCAATCTTAGCCTAAATCAACATTACTAAATGAACAGCTGATATTGAAACACTGAAATCCTGTTCTGTTTAGGGAACAGCAGATGAAAAGCTGTTCATGGTGACCTAAGAAGCAAAGCTTTTCTGGCAGCTTTTCTGAGCCCTTACAATCTTTGACCAGATGAACTTAGCTTATCAATGTATGTCTGATCTAAACTTATCGTTCTTCCACTTATCGACAATAAAAAGGTTTTCTTCTTGAAGTTTATTGAGGCTTTGAAATGTGAGAAAAAATGTGTAAAATGCTTTTATTAGAAAATTTCCGGTCATGCAGGCAAAATTAAAAACAGCAACAACCCCCCC